AATTCCATTGAATATCATTAAATTAATGCGACCGGAAGTTCCATTCCAATAGCTGGACATGCGGTGGAGATGGCAGAATGGAGTGAATCGAAGGAAAACTCACTTTCTAGAGCTAGTTTAGATGATCTAGCTATATCAATAGAAAGCCAAGGAACTGTCTTAACAATTGTATGATTCCTGGATTAATAGACACTGGCAGTGAAGTGTAGGAGCCGCAAAAGCTCACTACAGTGAGTTGCTGCATCCAAGTATTTCTAAGTGTAATATTGTTACTTTATGACAATTTAATACGCAGAAACTGTTCCACAAATGTTTTTGAAAGTTTTCTTTATCTTGCAGTAAACCCCTTTCCTGTATAAAGCAATATAAACGGCTACAATGACAGCAGAATGTGATTCCATTGTTGAAAAACTTAGTAGCTTTCTATTGATATAGCTAGATCATCTAAACTAGCTCTAGAAAGTGAGTTTTCCTTCGATTCACTCCATTCAGCCATCTCCACCATGCGATCTTGCCACCCAAAATGGCCATGAAATTAAATGCGAGCGTAGTGTAAATTATGAATATGATTAAAAGGCGTTGGTGAAAAAGGACTATTATTATGAATTAACTGGGGCTTCAGGCCCCAGTATAGTGTACAGGCAATGTCTACAAAATTCCATCATGTAGTTTACAAATAATATGTACTGTCGTAATGGCTAGTTGTGTGTACCAGTGTTTGTTATAATTATTTGTGTGATTTCCTTAATTGCTTTCACAAGAACTGCATCTGATGATTACCTTCCATAACACTATAATAATTACCGTACGGTTGGTAATATTCGAGGGTCCAAAATTTCGTGCTGTGTCCAAAATGTCCTTAGAAGCTAATATTCGTGGGTACAAATATTTGTGGGTGGTAGTTAGCAAACTTCTTTTCACTTGGATCTACTGGACTAGCTTCCAGCACATGGCTTATGGTGGAATATGGAGTAACAGACAAGAACTCTGGCTCCTCTACTGGCTTGAAAATAGTAGTTAGAGCTCTGCATGGCCTGTTAATTAGCTTTTATTTGTGGGTGGGTAGGGGTTAAAATTTCCTGGATAAGAATAAACCACGAAATTAACGAAAATTAATGCCCCACGAAATTTACCAACCGTACGGTAACATGTATATAACCTTGTACTAACCTGCTTTATATTCACTCTCTCTCTGCAGTGTGATATGCCAAAAGAGAAAAGAAAACAGGTTCGAAGTAAATCTCGAAGAACAAGAAGCAGTAGAAGTTGTGATAATTCAAGTAAGTATTAATGCATATTAAAGCCACTTATTTAACTGGTATTAATGTGGTGTGTAGTCATTTTTTGCCTCCCCACCAATTAGTGAGGGCAAGGACTATGTTCTTACGTGTGTCTGCAGACATTGGGTCAAGCAGCAGGTGCTCACAAATAAGCAAAGCTTTCAAAGTACTTAGTGCTGCTTACATATATAATCTATGTGCTATGTGCTTATTGCTTTTACAAATTTCAAAAGCACGGCAAAAATTGCATGTGAATAGTGTACATGTACAGTACATCCTCTATTATCCGAACAGCTCTGTGCACTACTTTTGCCAAAAGTGTTTGGATAATAAAAAAGTCTGGATAATTGAATAATTATATTCATTGTTAATTAATATTCATTGTTAATTAATATTCATTGATTAAATATTCATTACCAATTA